CGACTTACTGCCAGCAATGCGAACCAGACTCTGACACTGGTCATACAGGGACCTGGTACCTTTGATACCAGTAGCTTTCCCCAATGCGCCAAGACTATTAAACATTATTTGAAAGAAAAAATAAATAAAAACAGACAATGACATCACAGCAAAAGTAACATACCAAGACCTTATGCAGCAGAAACTGCAATTTTTACAGACTTTATCCCAACAAACATTCAACTTTCAGAACAGGGGCACTGACAAATGAGAACCCCCAACTCCGTCCCCCGAGGGACACGGTCAAACGCCTTCTCCAAGTCCACAAAACACATGTAGACTGGTTGGGCGAACTCCCATGCACCCTCCAGGTGCATGCACCCTCAGCATCTCTACATCCTGCTGAGGGTGTAGAGGGTAGAACGCTGAGTCCAGTGTTCCACGACCAGGACGAAAACCTCACTGCTCTTCCTGAATTTGAGGTTCGACTATCTGACGGACCCTCCTCTCCTGGACCCCTGAATAGACCTTACCAGGGAGGCTTAAGAGTCGGACCCCTCTGTAATTGGAGCACACCCTCCGGTCCCCCTTTTTGAACAGGGGGACCACCACCCCAGTCTGCCAATCCAGGGGAACTGCCCCCGATGTCCATGCAATATTGCAGAGTCGCGTCAGCCAACACAACCCTGCATCCGGAGCCTTAAGGAACTCTGGGCGGATCTCATCCACCCCCTGGGCCCTGCCACTGAGGAGCTTCTTAACCATCTCGGCGACCTCGTCCCCAGAGATTGGAGAGCCCGACCCAGTGTCCCCAGGCTCAGCTTCCTCAATGGAATTCATGTTGGTGGGATTGAGGAGGTCTTCGAAGTATTCCGCCCACTGACCCACAATGTCCCGAGTTAAGGTCAGCAGCACACCATCCCCACTGTAAACAGTGTTGGTGCTGCACTGCTTCCCCCTCCTGAGATGCTGGATGGTGGACCAGAATCGCCTCGAAGCCGTGCGGAAGTCTTTCTCCATGGCCTCTCCAAACTCCTTCCATGCCTGAATTTTTGCCTGAGCGACCACTCGAGCTGCATGTACCCATCAGCTGCTTCGGGAGTCCCACAGGCCAAAAAGGCCCAATAGGACTCCTTCTTTAGCTTGACAGCATCCCTCACCGAAGGTGTCCACCAACGGGTTCAAGGGTTGCCGCCGCGACAGGCACCAACAACCTTTCATCCACAGCTCTGATAAGCCGCCTGGGTAATGGAGGCACAGAACATGGTCCACTCAGGTCCTCCACCTCCCCCAGAACATGTTTGAAGTTCTGCCGGAGATGGGAGTTGAAGCTCCGTCTCACAGGGGACTCTGCCAGACATTCCCAGCAGACCTTCACAATACGTTTGGGCCTGCCAGGTCTGACTGGTTTCCTCCCCCACCACCGGAGCCAACTCACCACCAGGTAGTGGTCAGTGGACAGCTCCGCACCTCTCTTCACCTGAGTGTCCAAGACATACAGCTCCAGATCCGATGAAACAATGACAAAATCGATCAGCGAACTGCGGCCTAGGGTGTCCTGGTGCCAAGTGCACATATGGACACCCTTATGCCTGAACATGGTGTTTGTGATGGACAATCCATGACGAGCACAGAAGTCCAACAACAGAACACCACTCGAGTTCAGATCGGGGGGGCCGTTCCTCCCAACCACGCCCCTCCAGGTCTCACTGTCATTGCCCACGTGAGCGTTGAAGTCCCCCAGTAGAACAAAGGAGTCCCCAGAAGGGGCACTCTCCAGTACCCCCTCTAAGGACTCCAAGAAGGGTGGGTAATCTGAACTGCTGTTCGGCCCGTAAGCACAGACAACAGTCAGAACCCGTCCCCCCACCCGTAGGCGGAGGGAGGCTACGCTCTCGTTCACCGGGGTAAACCCCAACGTACAGGCGCCAAGATGGGGGGCAACAAGTATGCCCACTCCTGCCCAGTGCCTCTCACCGTGGGCAACTCCAGAGTGGAAGTATGTCCAGCCCCTCTCAAGGAGAGTGGTTCCAGAACCAGAGCCATGCATCGAGGTGAGGCCGACTATTTCTAGCTGGAACCTCCCAGCCTTGCAGACTAGCTCCGGCTCCTTCCCCACCAGAGAGGTGACATTCCACATCCCTTCTACTGCTGAGGATCAGACCGCCAGGGTCCCCTCCCTCGGCTGCCGCCCATCACACATTGCACCCGTCCCCTTTGGCCCCTCTCACAGGTGGTGAGCCTATGGGAAGGGGGACCCACATCTCCTCTTCGGGCTGAGCCCTGCCGGGCTCCATGGGTAAAAGCCCGGCCACCAGGCGCTCGCCATCGTGGCCCACCTCCAGGCCTGGCTCCAGAGTGGGACCCCGGTGACCCGCGTCCGGGCGAGGGAACACTAAATCCAATGTTTTTTCTCAACGTTGTTTAACTAATTGGAATGTTTTATATGTTGTTGTTTTTTCATAGTGCAAATGACATTTTTTTCGTTTCTTCTATAGTGAAGAAGAATAGTGTCTTCACAGGTCTGCCTAACAAGTCAGGCAGACAACTGTGCTGAACCAGAACCCTGCTGCTTTTAGCTGACAGTCTGACAGAGTATGAAAACACCTTTGGAGGACACACCTTAGTCTAACATGTCGCTATGGTCAAATTATTTTCACTTTTTTTCTAATGGTACCATCATGTTTGTACAGAACTGTTTCATTTGTAGGTTCTTTAAAATGATTCTGTTGAACTTTCCAGTAAAGTTTTATTTAATGTTATTCTTTGTCAGTTTCAAGTTATTTCATTGTTAATATTTTTTGTCATTATAAAAAAATAATTTTGTCCAAGTGATGAATATTTATATATAAACATACAAACCAGATTCCAAAAAAGTTGGGACACTAAACAAATTGTGAATAAAAACTGAATGCAGTGATGTGGAGGTGCCAACATCTAATATTTTATTCACAATAGAACACAAATCACAGATCAAAAGTTTTAACAGAGAATGTATCATTTTAAGGGAAAAATATGTTGTTTCAAAATTTCATGACGTCAACAAATCCCAAAAAAGTTGGGACAAGGCCATTTTTACCACTGTGTGGCATCTCCCCTTCTTCTTACAACACTCAACAGACGTCTGGGGACAGAGGAGACCAGTTTCTCAAGTTTAGAAATAGGAATGCTCTCCATTCATGTCTAATACAGGCCTCTAACTGTTCAATCGTCTTGGGCCTTCTTTGTCGCATCTTCCTCTTTATGATGCGCCAAATGTTCTCTATAGGTGAAAGATCTGGACTGCAGGCTGGACATTTCAGTACCTGGATCCTTCTCCTACGTAGCCATGATGTTGTGATTGCTGCAGAATGTGGTCTGGCATTATCTTGTTGAAAAATGCAGGGTCTTCCCTGAAAGAGACGACTTCTAGATGGGAGCATATGTTGTTCTAGAACCTGAACATAGTTCTCTGCATTAATGGTGCCTTTCCAGACATGCAAGCTGCCCAGGCCACAAGCACTCATGCAACCCCATACCATCAGTGATGCAGGCTTCTGAACGGAGCGTTGATAACAACTTGGGTTATCCTTGTCCTCTCTGGTCCGGATGACATGGCGTCCCAGTGTTCCATAAAGAACTTCAAATCGCAACTCATCTGATCACAGAACAGTCGTCCATTTTGCCTCACTCCATTTTAAATGACTCCTGGACCAGTGCAAACGGCTGAGCTTGTGGAGCTTGCTTAGAAATGGCTTCCTCTTTGCACTGTAGAGTTTCAGCTGGCAGCGGTGGATGGCATGGTGGATTGTGTTCACTGACAATGCTTTCTGGAAGTATTCCTGAGCCCATGCTGTTATTTCCTTGACAGTGGCATTCCTGGTTGAGGTGCAGTGACGTTTAAAGGGCCCGGAGATCACGAGCATCCAGTAGAGTTTTATGGCCTTGACCCTTATGCACAGCGATTGTTCCAAATTCTCTGAATCTTTTGATGATGTTATGCACGGTTGATGATGATAACTTAAAAGTCTTTGCTATTTTACGCTGGGTAACACCATTCTGGTATTGCTGCACTATCTTTCTGCGCAACAATGGTGGAATTGGTGATCCTCTTACCATCTTGGCTTCAGAGAGACACTGACACTCTAAGAAGCTCTTTTTATACCCAATCATGTTGTCAATTGACCTAATTAGTGTTAATTGGTCTTCCAGCTGTTTGTTATATGTTCAGTTTCCTTTTTCCAGCCACTTATTGCTACTGTGAAATTTTGAATCAACATATTTTTCCTTTAAAATGTTACATTTACTCAGATTAAACTTTTGATCTGCCATCTATGCCCTATTCTGAATAAAATATTGACATTTGCCATCTCCACATCATTGCATTCAGTTTTTATTCACAATTTGTTCAGTGTCCCAACTTTTTTGGAATCCGGTTTGTATATACATTTTTATATATTTTATCATTTTAACCCTGGAATCGATATGAAATGTAGCTGAAACGGCGGAAAAATGTGCCTTAATATTCCTCACATTTCTATTTGTATTTTTATTTGTAAAAATACAACAACAAAAACAATAATAACAACAAAAACAGCTTCATTCAGGTGGGAAAGAGAAAGTTCTTGTGTATCTGCATAAATTTAAAATGGTGATGAAAGTGTGCTGTTTCAGTCTATTTGTTGGAAAGACCCCATGCTTTCTTCTTTTCTTCTATATTGAAGTCCTCCTTTTCAAATTCTTTCTTTATGTAGAAGTGCCCACACGCCCCTCCCCTTTTCTTCATGCTGTTTTGCCTCTCATTTCATTCTGCACCTCCTCCATTTTGTGTAAAATTAAATTGTTTTCATGCTCCTGCCTTTACTTTTTACTTTTGGCTTTCACACTAGCTGTTTCAAGTTCATTCTTTCAAAGGAAAAGAAGTTTACTCCCATTAAACCTGCTCTGTTCTTCCTATCGTTGAACCTAGAACCCTAATCTACAAACTTCCTGCATGTCTGAGTTTGACTGCACCCTCCTCCACTTCCCCCTCTGAACTTCTCCACCCCTCTCTTCAGCTTCTGCTCTGCTCTTCCTGAGCTCACTCTGTCGTTGGCGTTCGCGTTGACTGGCCAGAGTCCGCGAGCTGAGCACCCTCTGCCTTTTTCACCCTCTATCTCCCATCTCTGCAACTCTATTCATCACCGTCCTTCCCTCTGGGTAAGTAAGCCGTGATTTTCTTTTTTTTTCCAGTTCATATGTCATGCTCACACACCCTCATGCAAATTTTGCAAGGACAGCAGAGATTAAGGAAAATTAAGTGTACTCAGAGAATTATATTATGTAACATTATCTTTCTGCTGTTGCTTGTAAAGAGATGGTTGCATTTTGAATTGTCTTATTGCTGTTTTCCTGCTTTTCTACTCAGAGTTGAGTGATCTGCTTTAGGGACATATGATACCCTTGACCTTTATAGTTCTTTACATTTCTCTGAAAGTCTGGATTTAATTAAAACAGGTTATCAAGCTAAGTTTCCAATACCATGATAAAAAGCTGGATTAGAGTTTTATTTATATTCCATTTTGGATCATCAGATAGTGTGAGACTACAAATATCCCTGTTAATTATTGACATTTAAACATTTTTCTCCCACAACTTTGCTTCCTCTTTTAGGCGAGGATATTGTCACTTCTCTTTTTCTGTTAATCTTTCAGTTCACAAGGTTCCTCTCCCCACTTCCTGATCTGATTCTGGCATCTGATTGGTCATGGCGTACCATAGCTTCCTTCTGGAACCAATTAGCTGCCATGCGTGGAACAAAGATCGGACCCGTAAGACTGCTTTAAAAACTCCTTAAACTGTCTCATCGTTCAACTGGTTAAACCCAACGGTACATCTTCCTCTGACTAAAGTCTCTTGGTGCTATCAACCAAGGCCTGTGATTGGCCCCTAGGTGGGAGAAGGTATTTCCTGTTTCCTGTAGCAGTGAGGGTGGCGCCGGAGAACTTCTGAGAGGCTTTTGTGCACCATTAGCTCGAGGAAACCAAAGCCTTATTTGGCTATTTTGACCAGTGCTTTGCTTTCTGAGCAAAGCGGATGTAACAGACATCCGTGATCGAGTCATACTTGTGTATATTTAGTTTTACACACACCTTGCAAAAAATAACCCTGGGACTGGTTCATCTGGAGAAGAAAAATGCACACAAAGCACTCATACTCCTCTTCTGAGACAAATACTTCTGACTCATCTGCAGACTAAAACATGTGGGGTTTGCCACAGTTTAAAGGAAAAGACAGCTGCCGTGTAGGTTGCCCCCAGGAAGAGACACACTGTTTTTGTAGTTTTTCTGTTGTAGGCATTCAATCAGCTGCTCACTTATTATTCCACTACTCACTTATTATTCCACTGCATTCCACTCTCTTTCTTTATGTTTATGCATCTTGGCTAACACTTTTATCCAAAGAGACTTAGAAATGAATATTTGAAGAGTGAAAACATAGGGAGGAATGCAGAAAGAGGAAAAAATGCAGTAAAGTTCGTAGGGACATACAGGACTAGGAGATGATCTCTGAAGAGCTGGGTCATCAATGGTTCCTTGAAGACAAACAAGGTAGCTATTGTAGTAGCGCTCAGCGGGTAATTTCACCATCATGGAATGACACAAGTTACCTGACATGTTATATCAGATACAGACAGACTTCTCTTAGGTTTAACAAAGTGAAACAGCATGACTGGTCAATGGAGGTAACATGATCTCTAAAGATCAAGCTGGTCACCGATCAGGACAAATGGTTTCTTGGCACCTTTGATGGAGCAAGTGATAGGGATTCATTTTTGATGCTGATATTTTAGTATGTGTCGTGCTTGCCTGGGAAGACAAGCATCTGGTTTTAGAGAGTTTTAGTTGAAGACAATGGGCTTTAATTCATGTCGACATGCCAGGGAGACAGTCCTGGGACCATGTGGTCATCAGGTGAAAATGATTAATAAAGCTGAGTAGTGTCAGTATAGTGGTAGTATGAGACGCCATGTGATCGGATAAACTGACCCAGTGAGGTGGTGTATATTGGAAAGAGAGGAGGTCCCAGTACCAAGCCTAGGGGTACTCCTGCTAGGAGAAGGTTCAAAGGAGATATTCCTATAATAACATGTTCAGCTGCTGCACATTTATTGGCTGCACATCTATGAATTAAATCTCCCATTTCATCTACTTCTCCAGAATTCTGCATTGAATTGAGATGTGGTGGCTTTAAAGTATCCATCCATCCATTTTCTTTACACCCTTGTCCCTCAGTGGGGTCGGGAGGGTTGCTGGTGCCTATCTCCAGCTATCGTTCCGGGCGAGAGGCGGGGTACACCCTGGACAGGTCACCAGTCTGTCGCAGGGCTTTAAAGTACAGATACACTTTTCACTACTTTTCCCTTATTGTGTTGCTATCATTCTCAGTTAGCATTAACATATCAGTCTTTACATCTATAGTAGGTGTGGGGTACAGAGGCAGAAAAGCTTATCCAATGAGCCAAATTAATTATTAAAGTCAGACAGTAAACATATGATGCAATTTTGAAGCCTATTAAATATGCAAGCAGTTCTTTACCATTAGAACAAATTGATGTTGCAAAGATGATTGGGATATGATTTATTGTTCAGTTATAGTATTTGCCATACCTTAGTATTAATACAGAGGTTATTTAAGATGCTGTTCATTCTGAACCACTATCCTTCTGGCCTTTGACACTAACCAGACATTTTTATCCTAATAAATGCTACTCAGTGGATTTTTAAAAATATTTTCTGTTGTGTGGGAGATAGTTGTTTGTATAAACAAACAACCAACAGTCATCAGCAGATTTTGAAGTACTCAGACAAGTCCATCTAGCAACAACCGTGCCACTTTCAAAGTCACTTGAAACATATTTCTTCCCAACTTTGATGCTCACTCTGAACTTCAGTGAATCATTTTCACCACATCCAGATGTCAAACTGCCATGAATTGCAGACACATAATTAACAAGTTATCTAGTTGTTTTAGCACACTAGCAAACAGGTATATAATAAAATGGCCAGTGAGTATATATGTTGTCATAGTTCATTTAAATGCTTTGATTTGTATTCTAGAGATTGCCCTGTGCCCCAATAACCATGAAGTCCACATCTACAAGAAAGATGGAACCAAGTGGACCAAAATCCATGAGCTGAAGGAGCACAATGGACAGGTAACAGGTGAGACCATCTGTGTTCCTCATGTACTAAACTAAATCTTTCACATCATCATCATCTTTTAAAGATGTTTTTAACATATTAACATTGAATAGCTGACTAAAAATAACACTAACAAATCATTGGTGGAGAGTATGTATATGTTTGAGTGTGTGCTGCTGTGTGGTCAGTAAAAATTCTAAATTCTACGTTCTAATTTCAAATTCAAATCTTTCTGTAAGGTTTGAATTTACTCATGCTTGAAAAGAGAGAGACTCAAGTACATCCTTACAATCTCAGAATGAATATATTTATGCTGATTAACTTCTGATTAGAACTGCACACCTTATTATAAGTGCAGAATGTGAATAGTTTCTTTTCCCTCAAGGTATTGACTGGGCCCCAGACAGTAACCGCATCGTCACTTGTGGTGCTGACCGTAACGCTTACGTGTGGACCCTGAAGGAGGGATCATGGAAGCCCACCTTGGTTATCTTGAGGATCAACCGGGCTGCTCGCTGTGTGAAGTGGTCACCAAAAGAGAATAAGTTTGCCGTTGGCAGCAGTTCGCGGCTCATTTCAATCTGTTACTTTGAGCAGGAAAATGACTGGTGAGGTTGCATGGAATTCATTTTTATTCATTTGAAAATTATAAGTCAGCATAATATAGGACTAAGTGTCTCTACATTAGGTGGGTGTGCAAGCACATCAAGAAGCCGATCCGTTCTACTATTCTGAGTCTGGACTGGCATCCTAATAACGTGCTGCTGGCTGCTGGATCCTGTGACTTCAAATGCAGGTATTGCTAGCTTTTCTCATGATTCTACAAGCCAAATGTAAAATGAGCTAGACTACATTTAAATGAAGCTAACAGGGATGTCTCAATCAGAGTTGCTTAAGTTTATTCATGCTCACATACTCAGACCCAATCCTTAGATACTTATATGATAAAATAAGATCTATATAAAAGTATTTTTATTCATTAGCTGTGAAGTGCACTAAAATATGCTGCATCTCATCAATATTGTATGATCTGTATTATTGTGACTTCATCCCACTTATTTCACCAATGGTGTTCAGGAAGCTGAACCTCTCCTAGTCACTAATTTAATGACTAGTGTTTCAGCTGCTCTTCATGCTCACTTGATGACTGTCTGAGCACAACACAAAGCAGATAACATCCCATAGACACACAGGGAGCTGCAAAAAATATTAAAATTAATAGTTGAGTCTTTTAGAATAAAAAAATAGATTAATTTGCAGTTTATGGTACTGTAATACTAGATACTGTTTTGTAAGACTTTCACACCTTCACCAGGGATGCCATGTGGAAGGCACTGTAGGAATTGATGGGAGAAATGCAACTTGTCTTCTGCAGGGTGTTCTCAGCCTACATAAAGGAGGTGGAGGAGAAGCCTGGCCCCACTCCTTGGGGCAGCAAGATGCCATTTGGGGAGGTGCTGTTCGAGTCCGGAGGTTCTGGAGGTGCTGCACCGTCATCAGGTGGAGGTGGAGGCTGGGTGCACAGCGTGTGCTTTTCGCATTCTGGCAACCGTTTGGCCTGGACGTCCCACGACTCCACAGTGTCAGTAGCTGAGGGAGGAAAGACGGGCACGTAAGAGATGGAGGGACGGTGTACCTGGGGAGCTAGCACTTGTTTCAGTGTTAGACTTTTAACTTTTTGTCATGACTTTCATAGGGTGAGCAGCCTGAGCTCGGAAACTCTTCCTCTCCTGTGTGTTACCTTCATCACTGAGAACAGCTTAGTTGCTGCTGTGAGTATTCAACACAATCCTGGCACTTGTTTTAAGCACAATTCATGATCTCAATTTAAATTGGGTTACAACATCTCAAAAAAAGTATTCATATTTCTTGAACTTTTCCACACTTTGTCATGTTACAACCACCAGCTTCAAAATATTTGAAGCTGAACCATTTAGAATTCTACTTGTAGTATCTGGAGTTCTTCATCTTCTGATTACTTAAAACAACCAGCATGTCATAATATACTAAACAGTATCTGCTCATGTGTCTGTTGTCTTTCAAAACGTGCATTCTTTTCTTTCTTCAGGGTCATGACTGTTACCCGATGCTGTATGTATATGATGGTGCGAATGCCAGCTTGACATTTGGTGGCAAGTTGGATGTTCCGAAGCAGGCAGCTTCGAAGGACATCAGTGCCAGAGAACGCTTTAAGAACCTGGACCGTCGAGCCTCTGAGACTCAGAGCACTGACAAGGACCTGAACACGCTCCACAAGAACAGCATCAGGTCAGAAGACACAAGTGTTCAGATTCTGAGAGGAGGGAAAACCTGGAGGGGGCTTAATAAGCAAGAGACACCTATGTTAGGGTGACAAGAAACAATTGTGCATAAAGTAAAACACAGAGTTCCTAATAAAATAACATTTTGTGCCCTCCTTCTTCCCATTCTCAATGTCTTATTCACAAAGTGATTGGCTCTAATAAGGCTCCAGTGCAATTATATGTAAATCTCCTAAATTTTCAGCTGTTTAAAAACTTCTTGATTCAAACTGCAGGCTGTGATCACATCATGTTTTAGTGTACAGACTTTGAGTTTTCTAAACCTCCGTTTCAGCCAAATCTCAATGCTGGAGGGAGGAAGAAACCAGTGCACCAAATTCTGTACCACTGGCATGGATGGAGGAATGGGCATCTGGGATGTCAAGGTAACACACATACAAGCCTCAGCCATATTGTCAGATTTAATTTCTGATTATTTGACACATTTGCATCCTCACTGATATCTTTCCAGAGCCTGGAGTCTGCTATGAAGAATTTGAAGATTGTGTGAGCTGAGCTGTACACCAACGTTCCTAAAGACATGAAGGAATCCGCTTCTGTATTACAAAAAGCTTTTTGGCTGTATTTTATTCAAGTATTTCTTTATACACAAAGTAAAACCATCAGTTCTGTTGCAACAATGTGTGTAGTCTCCCCAAGGCATTTTGCTGGCTCATTTGATTTGTTGCTCTATAAGAGGGGCTGACCTCAGGTCTGCAAATGGTACTCAGTGAGTTCTATTGATATTTTTAAAAGAGCTCAGTGTGAGCTGAATGCTTAAAGCAGCTTTTACACATTTTAACCATTGAGAACGGCTTCACTGCTTATATTAAAAGCTTATGCTGGACATAACATGCGTTTAATAAATGATTTCTGTGGAACAGGGCCAAAACTAGTGGGTGTCTCTGTCTATGAACACTTTTACAACTTTTCATTTATAGTTCATTCTGTTCCACCATATAAGTTTGAGGTTATGGTTTCGTGTTCAGTATTTTAGGTATCAGAGATTAAATGCAATAAGTATCTTGGTCTAATTTTCATATTTTGAAGGATTGCATGACAAAATAGAACATTGTGAATTGTTCTATTGTGCTACAATTATTTGATGCTCAAATTTGACTTTTTTTGATAACTTTTTCCTTATTCACTCTTTTTATATTTTATATGACAGGTCAAAAACATAAGTAAATTAACCTAAAAAAAATTTCATACGTTATTTAAAATTCTTGAATGTCTTTTGACTTTGCATAGCCAGCTAACTTTTCATTGATAATCATGACTGACTGCCTGAGGTAGTTTCTCTCAAGATGTTACACAGCCAACCCACAATTGAGGACACATTCTGGATTCAATTATCAGTAAGGGTGTGAATACTTCCAAGGTCTGATGTTGCCCTGTCTGATCATTTCTTTGTTATCTTTGAAAGTACAATCTCTTTTGACTCACTTGGCAAAACAGCTACTATTAGAAAGCATTCTTTCACACACAACACAGCTGAAACTTTTAATCAAATCTATTCTTCCACTTCGCCTCCATGTTGTGACCCAGTAGATGTGTTGGAAGATCATTTTCATTCTGAACTTTCAGGTATCATTGATGCCAGTGCTCCCACCAAAGTAAAGGTTGTGTCCGGTAGGAAAAAGTCTTCGTGAAGATATGCCGATTTATGTTTTCGCATCCACCTGAATAATGTGCAGTTGCGCCACTGAACATGACTTTGAATTTGACAAAAAATGTAATCCCGCTCTATGTGCCTGCACATCCATCTAGTGGCGCGACCAGGAACTGCATTCAGAATTTCCTCAGCTATGAATCAGAGCCTCTGAAAATTATGTGTCAGCCTTGAGATAAATCAAAACAGCCTTCCTCATCGAGTCGTGATGACGATGTGAAGCGGTGGTTTGCAGACACATTAGAGGCTCAGCAGCAGCAGAAATACCACGGACAGAGCGGGTCTCGTCCAGCCGCTTCCAGTCGCCCACACTTCCGGAGCAGACCCTGTTACAGGCAGCTGTGGGTCGGGATGCGTCCGTCTGAGATGACGGGAGGACAGTGCCAGTAAAACGCAGCGGCTGGTTGCGTTGTGTTAAATCTCGCTTTTGCAATCTCAGCTGAAGAGACTGCATCACATCAGCAGTAGTTTTTCTATCGACCGACACTCAGCGGGGATACAGGCTTTTAATCTTACTGTCTGCCGTCAACTGTTGCTTATTTTCACTGTAAATGAATCTTGTAAGGTAGGTAGGAAGCTTTGCGTATCATTGTATCCTACTGGCAAAATGAATTCAATTTTTTTAAACAAATGCTTGAGTATTGCATGTATGCAGCTAATTGTGTCCTGTTGGTGATGATGAGGAGGAGGATGCTGGGATGAAAGAACAACTCAATATTTCATCTCAGAACCATTCTCTCTGAAACCAGATGTATTTACGCACTTCACTCACCATGTAGTTCTGTGAGAAAGTATTTTCTTCTTAGATTAATTCAGGTTTTGGTTTGTTGTCAGACCAGCATGTTTCAGAAAATCAGACTAATTTTAATTTTAAAAAAAAGCCAGAGTAAACACACAGTTTTGAAGTTATTTGTTAATATATGAAGGGATAAAAGCTGCCCTGCGATGGACTGATGACCTCTCCAGGGTGTAACTCGCCTCTCGCTCATTGGCCGCTGGAGATAGGCCCCAGCACCCCTCACAACCCCACTAGGGATAAACGTGTTTGAAAATGGTTTGATAAATGGGATAAAAGCTATCCAAACCAGCCAAGTAAAAGGACAGGCATTAAAAACTTAAATCAGAAGTAGGCTAAAACATCACAAAATGCAATACATCATGCCCTGATCTAAAGAAATCAAAGAACAGATAAGAAACAACATGTCTGACTGGAATTAATTATAAAGCCATTTCTAAGGTTTTTAGACTTGGAGAAAACATGAAAAAGAGGTGAACTTTCTTAGGAGTTGCTAGCCCACTAAAACTACTCCAAAACTGCACCAACCACCAGAAATTATGAAAGAATCCGGAACAACATCTAAAGCTCTGCAGGCCTCGCATGCTTCTGTCATGGCTGTTTATAATTCAACAATAAGGAGACTTGGTAAAACTAGCATCCATGGGAGAGGCTCCCCTCACCCCTAAATAAAAGAAAAAAAACACATTGTCCAATAAAACCTTGACTGGCAAAATATAGTGTGGACTAAGGAGACAAATGTATAATGCTTTGGAATGTGTGCGTATGTTACCTCTGGTGTGAAGTAATAAAACATTTCAGGAAAAGAACATCAAGTATAGTGGTAGAAGAGTTTTGGTCTGGGGCTGCTTTGCCCTGAAAATCCTGAAAAGGAATGTAATCAGTTTGTAATAGTTCCTTTAATCCCATAGAAAGATGTTATTTCAATTCGTATGAAAATTAAGTACATCCTCAAAGATGGTGGAAGTTAACGATGTTGTCTAACTTGTGCTGCTTCATTGGCTGATTATACTAATCAGCTGAACGTGAGTCTGTTGGGTTAATTTTCAAACAACAGAGACCTGAAAGGTAACCCTTTAAACTCAAATAGGATGATGCTGCAGGACAGTAATCCAAAACACACCAGAAAGTCCACCTCTGACTGGCATGACTTTAACAGGCTGTTGACACTACGGGTGAATTAACCATTTATTAGTTTTAAGGATAATTTAGTTTTTCAAATGGGGTCGGGATAGCGTTTATAAAACACAATTATTCCAAATTTGCAGTTTTAATAAAAAAATGAAGGTCAGAAAAAAGCAGCTAAAACAGAAGAAATCTGTAAGAGGGCAATTGATGTACTGCACAGCACTGTTCCACAATGTTCTGTATTTTATTTATTGTTTGACACAAAAGTTATCTTCATTATTGTCAGCACTGCTGGTAACATTTTCTAATAACTGATTCCTATTTTCAATCTGTAAAAATCCATTCACAAAGCTTTACTGATCAATCTCTTCTTTTCTCTTTAAAAACTCAGACACAGCCACATCTCAATAAATCACAATACAGTCAATTAACAAGATAATCTCTGATGAGTTTCTACATCCTGAGCAAGCATACAAAGTGGAGAGAAACAACTCCCCCTTAGGAGAAAGAAATTTCCACCAGAACCAGATAGACTAATTGACCATCAGCCTCAGCAGGCAGGAGCCTGAGAACAAAACCTGAGAAACAGACATTACAAAACAGAATGACGTAANAAGGGCAGATCAAAAGATCTTAGCAAACCATCTGCTGTAACTACAGGTAAAATAAAGGTCAATAGGGGAGAATAAGTTACTAATCTGAAAAGTATAATTAGGCAATTTCAATCAAGACATGTTAAGTTTTAAAACTAGCATATTCTAAATTTATTTTCTTAACACTGTCTACTTAACATCTTTTAATAAGAAAACATGGTGGACCGCCTCAGTGCCCTGACCACCGGGCTTAGCAAGTTTTCTGGGGGAAGCAGAAGATCACACCGGGAGCCACTCCTGTCAGCTAAGAACAGGAATCTGAGGCTGTGATTCATTCAGGCTCACCAAAATTAGACAATAGCAGATTGGAAAAACCTTGCCTGGTCTGCTGAGTCTTGACTTCTGCTGCATTATTCGGATGGTAGGGTCAGAATTTGGTGTCAACAACATGAAAGCATGGATCCATCCTGCCTGGTATCAACAGTTCAGGCTAGTGGTGGTGCAGTGGTGGGGGGGGATGATTTTCTGGCATACTTTGAGCCCAGTAGTACCAATTGAGCATTGTGTCAACACCACAGCCTACCTGAGTATTGTTGCTGACCATGGCCATCCCTGGGTGGGAAAATGGGCACAGTGTGGTAACAACCACACTGTGCCCATTTTCTGATGGCTACTTCCAGCAGGATAACATGCCATAAAGCGTGAACCATCTCAGACTGTCCTGTTCAGTACAGTGAACTCATTTTTGTGTTCACTTGAATGGCCTGTACAGTCTCCAGGTCTAAATCCAATAGAGAACCTTTGGGATGTGGTGGAACAGGAGATTCACATCATGGATGTGCACAACTGTGTGATACTATCATGTCGACATGGACCAGACTCTCTGAGGAATGTTTCCAGTGCCTTATTGAATGTATGCCACAAAGGATTAAAGCAGTTCTGAAGGCAAAAGGGAGTCTAACCCGGTACTAGCACGTTGTACCTAAGAAAGTGGCTGATGAGTGTATATAAACAATTAACTGGTTCAAGTTACACTTTTTAAATATCCTGAAATATCCAAGATAGTTTAGGGTGGTATTTATATCCTTTAAAATTTTTGCAAGTTTGAATTTATCTCAGATTTGAGGAAAAAAGTTTCAGGCAGACGGCCATTGTCACAGAGTCAGATCTACAATGCATGTTTTGTCATCCCTTTGTCTCCAAAGCAGCAGTTATCTGTTCCCTCTTAAACTATACACAGCCAATCAGCTTTTAAATCCCCTCCTAATTGTTTTTTATGCCCATTGTCATGGCAACTGTGACAAAGCCTTTGGGTGGGTTTTTAGGGCTGTGTGTCTCACTGTATGTGTCACTGCCGATTTATCAGGGCACAGAATTTTATACAGAGAGGAGAGCGGCAACTCAGCCACACACACAATCTATGTTCACAATGCTGGCAGAGAGGCAAACTGCTGCAGGGCGGTGCATTTTAATCCTTGGATCAGCAGGAAAACGCAGGACTGGAGGAAACAGACCCAAAACCATTACCAGTGGGAAAAACAATTATAAATCCTACATTTATTCCAGTTCATGTTTATTTAAATTTTAAAAAGCTGTCAGGGTTTTTTCACACCTAACAATGTAAAACATCAGGAGCTTTTTTTTTTGTAACCCTAATTTGTTAATAACCCTTATGAAAACTTAGAGGAAGGTCAACAATAAATGAACAGAAAGCACAGGGACTACAGCAGTACTATAGTACTCATGGTTAGAAACTCTGAGTTTCTAAGCACAAAATTAGCTTAAAAACTCAGTCAGAACCTGTTACCCAGATCCATATGATTCAAAACATGACGATGCA